TACAGCGGAATACTGTTCTCTACATATTTAGTGTTACCTTATACGTTGCAAGGAGGCTAGCGGCAAACTGCACGTCGCTACTATAACGACACGAACGAACGCGTCAAATTCCTTGAAGGGCAAACATGAAAAGAGGATCGTCTGGCCTAGTCTGACGATCTAGTGACGGGCGATACCAGCTGGTTCGATTATCCAGTAGACTTCATGAAAGCAACAGTCTGTATTTCTAAGCAATAACATGTGTAATCCTCAAAAAGCGGCAATTCATTAGACATAATAACATTTTACTTCCTGTTTTTATTTATGAAATGGTTACATTCAATACTGTATATCACAATAACAGCTGCTGGTTCAATATTTTAGCGTTACAGCGTTATTGCAAACGAAAGACCTCAAAACTACGATGGCTCTTGGAGGTGCGGAAACTACTGTATTTTGGCCAGGTTTCGGAAAGAAAAAGTAACTACTATAAACAATAGTATTAATACCTCAAGATCACTCAAAAATGAAGGTTAAAACGACATTTAATGGACGGCCTAGAACTATAAGCAGTATTGAAAAGCAATGAATCGTTCAAAACCTCAAAAGTTCAAAAGATGTTGCGTTGAACTGTGAATGCCATGCTATCATCTTCTAAATAAAAGATTATACTGAACAGTCAGATGCACATAAAGTCATTGTCTTCGTCCATGTTGGAAGTTTTTGGCAGTTTTTAACCACCGTCAGCGGTGGACATTTCGGCCGAATAAACCCCAATCACGTGTAAGGAGTTAATCGCTCACAGGTCCAACCTCTCATTCATGGTCCGTTGCAAATGTTCCATCGTTTCAGTTCAGACGAATACCGTTCTTCAGAAAAACCATTCTTATCCAAACGCTTAAATTGGACCCTCAATTCCGTTCATCGCTGGATACATTCTAATTATAGCAATTTAAAAGACATAAGTGTAAAAGACATACGTGTTATCTGCAGATAATCTGAATACTGTCCATGTGTACAGTGAATTCTAATGCCGTCAAATTCGTAACATATAAGATCCCCAAAACAGCTCAGTTTCTTTGTTAACATTATTTAGTTTATAGATATCGTCACTTGTGAGAAGTTTCCTTTCCCATTAGAAATATCACAACTGCAATTACTTGGGAATATGGCCAAGATGTCAGGAAAGAGAGTTAAGATACTCCTTTTGGCATAGCCACATTGTAAACAGCAAGGAGGAGAACATGATCAAAATGATAAGAAAGAGCTGAACTCCTGAACCTGACGCATGAAATCCAATCGTTGGAACTTGCCCTATGGACGTAAGAGCAGGAACATACAAAAATCTTCCTGAAAGTTGCTGTTCTAGACATCGAAAATGACTGAAAGTCGTTGGCACTTAAAACAAGTATATTTACTTGACTGTTAATACTTACAAGAACTAAATGAGTACTTTTAAAAGGTTAGATCTAGAGGCATTAAAGGGAGAAAATGTTGTAGCAGAAATCAAAATTATATCGTATCTGTCAGCAATAGATATCCTTCGTGAGGATCTCAAGGGTGTTAATGATTAAAGTCGTCCGAAAAATAACTGAAACAGCTAGTCTAAGAGAATCATTTATCCGCAGCCTACAATGAACTGTTTAACAGAAACCTGTCTGGCAACGGTAATCTTAATGACTCTGCTGCAGCTAGATTCAACTTCGAAGCCCTTCTTTCCCTTCCATGCCAGGGGCACTAACTTGAAGTACAAATCCGCTATAACCAGGCCCCAATCGTTAGCTCACATGACTGAAATAATGACATTCCGCTGATGAATGTTCGTGAAAAGCGAACGGTAAACGTGAAATTGTTCCAATACCCATTTGTTAGCCATAATGTTCTTCTAATCTTCTACCCTGTTTAAAAGGAATAAAATCAACGCACAAATTTGGGCAATAATATTTTGCCGAATTTTCTAGACGCTTATCACTCAAGAATATAAACTTCTCTTCATTTTCTGATAGGCTGTGAAACATCGTCAGAACCTTGCATTCGTCTTGCCTTTCTGCCGTTATCTTTCCTTCAAAGAGTAGATTATTTGGTAAAAAAATTTATCTTGTTTTCTTTGGAGAAAAATACCGACAATGGTTCTCAATTTCTTTCCGTCCCAGGGGTCTTTATCGAAGAGTTATATCACTATTTGCATATTATATTCTGAAACAAAATGGATTTTGATCTGCCTCCTTGGCAACATCGCTTTCACAAGTAAAATTTGACCCGAACCGGATCAAGAATTTTACAAAAGGAAACTCGGCCAGTACCCAATACTTCATTTTTATTATTTTGGTGTTACCTAATACTGCAGTTTTTCAATATCTCCTTAGAGACACGTTATTGTATCATAGCAACCTTATCGTTCTCTGCCCATAGACAGGTGGCACAATGAACTACTTCATATCAGTTTCTCTCCGATTTATCACCCATCTGATGTCCGTAGGGTAGTCCGTCTAGTCCATCTGGCGACTATATGACTCCAATGTCTACTTAACCTTCTCTAACAGCAGACGAATTCGATCTTTGGCCTGTTGTTAGAACTTTAGCAAATTTTTAACTCATGTCGGAGGGCATCAAACAAAGCCGGCAGTGAAGCTTTAATTGCCACTGCGTTTCACTACCAGACGGTTAGTATCATTACACCTTGATGATCCCTAGCACGATTACAGTCTTCATGTAGTAACCTCCGGCGTACTGATGAGGGACTTTGAGGAGCAAATGACGTTTTGCTTGACTCCTCTGATGACAGCGATCTACACAATGACTTCATTTCTGTCACCGACTTTTCTTTTAACAGATATTACATCAAATATCTGCCTGACCAACGCTCGGACAACTACGCTGTGTTCTACGTAATCAAATGTTTCTTTTGAAATCGATGAAAAGTGGCTATGAAAGAACTTTTTAGTGGGATCGTCAGGCAACCAGTATGACCATGAACATATGGTCAGTCTTAAACAAAGTCAGCCTGCTCATTTTCGTTGTCTTGTTTGACCGTTCTTCCAATGTCTGCGTGGACCATTCTCATCAAAAATTGGTACAGATTGGAGAGAAGGCACTTTTCTCATCTCGTTGATCACCAAATTAGCTGGTTGAATTATCTTTTTATCTACTGCTCAAGAAAGAACAGCCTTAAACAGCAATATACCCTTCACATCACCACTTCTTTCATGTCTTCCTAAGCTCAGGAAGAACATCGATACAACGTTGAAGGTAGAAACAATCCGAAACCCACAACAAATACGATGCTCTAAATAAAGTCCATCTGTTTACCGGAGATGCTTGCCGAAATCCGTTTCTTCGCCACACGTGCATATTTCGAAGCCATCGTATCCGCGGCTGTGATTCGGTGAATGCTGTGGATAGCTGGTCAGTTGATCCTTCCGTTGCTTTGTCAACAGGCGAGTGAGAAGAGCCGACAGGGAGGAGAAAGAGGCGAGGCAAAACGAGACGAAGCGATGCGAGTTACTGCCGCTGCTGCTGGCGTCAAGGAGTTGTCGTTCATTTGACGATGACGGCCAGTTCGCCCGCTGACCGCCTTATATGGACTAGCAGCTCTGCGCTAGGCGTACGTTCCCCGGCCAACTCTCCTGCAGTACATACTGTCGCAATCGTATCTGGCACTGCCACTACTAATCTTTGTCTGTAGATTAGAGATCGATCGACGGTGATCTTTTGTATTTTCGTTTAATTGGATGGTGTTCGATCAGCTGACCAACTGGTCAGAGGTGGACGTCGAAATTTCTATGCCCAGCGCAATCGACCAACGACCACAAGCCAATATTCGTTCAGCACCACTCATTTCCTACAACGGTTATAAACGCCTGACAAGAAAGCAGACTTCTGAAGAGTTTCACTAAACGACGGACCGCTGACCGAGTTGCCTCACAGTAGTGGTTATTTGAATAAATGTTGATTGGCGATGATCGGCATTCCGATATCTACTGACCGGCGGTCTAACCAGGTTTTGCGAAAGATGAGAGGTGGTAGGGAGACAAAAAGACTGCGATGGTTTCGACGGCCTCAAAAAAGGGTAATTATTTTTTTTCCGTAAACCGAGCATTTCAACAGACGCCTACTACACTGGGGCTTGTGTTGTTTTCTCGGCATAGCACAGCCCATGATGTTCTGTATCTTAATGTTTGCTTGAATGTTTGTTTCGCATTTTATTCAGTTATATGCACAGGTATGTCAATGGAAAACGAAAGGCCATTCGTCTGGTGCGATTGCTGCGAGGAAATGTCTGTCCATCAGGCCATCGAACTTGCCATAAAACTATTAATGCTGTTTAAGAGCTATCAGACATTAACTGCTCGATAAGCGGTCACAGTCAAGTCGTCCAGCGGCTAGTATACGGCATCTGCTGTTCACATGTCATGTTAATAGAGTCATCGCTGGTCATCGACGATCCGTTATCACGAATGACCATCGCGCTGACGACTACGGCGTGATACGATTGTCAATCGTCTGATTGAAGTCTCACAAGTGTGACTGACGACAGGCGATGAAAGAAGGTCAACGAAACGTGTAGTGTTGTAAAGGGCGAGAGTGGTACTTGCCATCAGAAGAAGTTCAGCGAAGCCGGATTGCCACGCTGAACAAACATCGGTCAGACAAATATGCGCCTTGTGTACACTGGCGTTTCGGCGTTTTAAAGTCGCAGGCCGAGCGGGCAACATCGGAATGACAAGAGCCGAAAACTTTGTGACCGGCAATTCGCCCCCTACGTCTCCGCCTACCTTACACCACATGCCAAGCAGCGACGAACCGAAAAACAAGTCTGGTTCGCCGGTTTTGTTGCACACACTCTACACCAACCCATCAAGGTATTATTCGGCAGTAGCCACATACGGCGAACGGGCCGAACTGGTAAAGTTGGCACGGTCGACACGTTTGTAGTGATTGGTTTTTCTCAGTGATCAAAAAAGCTCTTTCCACTATTTCTCAACTTATTCTAGTTCGTCGTTTCTCCCAGGGTGCAAAATAACCTCAGGTTCTTGCCATCGTTCACGGCTCGAAAATCAAGTTTTTCTTTCTAACGTTCATCAGGCAAACAGACCGTTACAACGAGCAACTCGTCGACTGAGGAATTCATAGCGTTACTGCAATCATATGAGGCACATACTCATGACAGGGTACTGCGTCTCTTGAAAGTTTAGAAAAACTAACAGCAATGCAAATAAAGATCACGAGAATGGCATGAGATGAAACGCTTTAAAAAACACATGCTCCTTGATGGTTCAGTGATAAGACTCGTCTTTGGACCTTGTTACTCTACAGTAATAGATCCACGAAATAAGACGTGACAGACAAAACCGAACTTTAATAGTGAGGCGATAGGAGCGTCAAGGCTGGTGGAAAAGAATGCTGGATAACAGAGAAAAGCTTGTCGAGAAGTTGCATAGGCGAGCATGGAGCTGAAACGGACCACTGAGAAGAACATTCAACTGACACAGTTGGAACTGCATGAAATCAAACGACGGTTTGTTTAACACTCAGACCTGTTTATCAAGGGCAGCTCCTACAAAACCATTATACAACAGATGGAAGAGACTGAAGCAAAGGAATGAGAAAGAATTATCGCTTGACCAGGAGATCTTCCAGAAGCTTCAATGCATTCAAAAATCTAAACGACAAATTGCTTTGATTAGAGGCAAGAGCCGCATGTATATATTAGTTAAGGAAACATTGCTCAATTATCATAAAAGTCATTAGTCTGAATGACAGCTCGTGATACCTGGAAAAATTAATCCGTAAAGAAATCCCAGAAGAGATGAAAAGCACAGCTTGAGATTTGGAAAATATTCATCATAGTCGAACGGAAAATGAGCAGAAGCACATCACAATGAAAACTTCTAATGCAGTACTATACTAGTGATATTCACTCATTTCATTCAACAACAACGACCTCAATAGGTATCACACCTTCTGCTGATTACCACCTTCAATATGCAACCATCAGGTGAGCTAGACGAGTTGCAGCCCTATGAGGTGCTAGAATCACGCTGCAGTACTTCCCTACCTACCCCCCTTCTGGTATGACCGTATCAGACCATCATACCGCTCTTAATGTTCTCAAATCAGCGACTTGCTACCTGTTTCTCTTCTGCCTGCACAAAAGAGACGTGGAGTAAATTCCTTTCTAACGATAATCTATTATTAAGACAAAGACTGTCCCTTCTGCAGAATCGAACCCGGCTCTGGAATTCGAGATCGACTTCATTGCCGTAAAAAGCTTTTAGAAAGATTCAAAAATTTACGTGTCATCCTTTCTTAGGGGTCTGTGTCAATCTTTTCTATGTTGTTCCAATTTCCAATTTTAGTACATGTCTTAACGGAATGTCGTTCGGTCATTTTCAGTGTCTGTTTCTTTGGGCCGTTGCTGCTAATGATCCATTAAAAAAATTTTTAATGAATTAAAGAATTAAAGATGTATGAATATCTGTGACATTGTGACCGAACCCAGCTACCGTAAAACTTAAGCAGTATGTAGTAAGATAAGTTTTTATTGCCATAATTCCACAGCCATATTGACAAACCGAACGAAGAGGCAACAATCCGGTGCATAAATACATGGTTTACGAAAGAAGAGCAGATGAGGAAGGATTAGCCTAGCGCATTACACACCTGTAAAGACTCATCTCTTCCAACCATGTAGCTTAAAGAGAAGCCGACTGGAGAAATACGAAAATTTAAGAACCAGTAACAGTCAGTAGAACGATCCCATATCAAGGTTCCTGCAACTGACTCGATTTGGCTACCGCTGCGACAGCCACCTCGGCATTCACCACTCCGCGACATGGAGTTGCTGTTGTATCGCATTTATTAGAAAACTTTGTTTGAGCATTTCGGTTAAAAATTAGGGATACTGAGCCACGAACCCTCTAAGAGTGACGGTTCGTCGTCGAAAAGGAGAGGGTTTAAGGCACGTCAGATATGATCTACCCTGCATGTAGACTACCATTATGAAATAAAAGATCATTGGAAGTTTTTGCTCAAAGTTGAACAGCAGTGGTGTACTCTCACGAGTAATAAAACTAAGCAATATCAGTACTTAGTAGGAAACACTTACTCAAGTTGAATAAAGTATTTGTTAGTTTTAAACAACTGCAATCCCTCGCTCCTCTAAAGCACGTACGCCTTCTGCATTTTCTGACCTTACTGCATCGAGGACAATGCCGCGTTTCTTGCAAGGTTCTTCTGCT